ATATTCCTTGCTGACTCTGTCCTGCCAAGCGTACTGGAGCTGATCTTCTCACAGCAGTGCTCTCTGGTGCATTGCTTCACCCTACCGAGTGCGGTYCGGTGTGGGTAGGACCCATATTTCCTCTTTCAGCCCTTCAAATTAAAAGAGCAGGTCTCACAGTGGYGACATAGGGAGGAAGACCTGGGACAAAGTTAACTCCTGGGRACACAAAGGGGAACTGGTAGTTCCRTGTGCCATTCAGAGCAGATGGTCAGGTGTAAGTGCCTCATAGTACAGGAGACTAAGGAGTTCTCAGTATGTTGCTGCAGAAAGAAGAGGTCCCACAGGTATTTAGGAAGGAGAGATGGGCTGAAAGGTTTTCAGGAGGGCACCGAGATCCTTGTGCCAAAGAAATTGTGAGTTTGCTTTGAGAAGGTGCTGCTCTTTGCTTTTGAAGGTGGAGGAAATGGGACTGCTGATTTCTCTGGCTAGCAGAGGTAGGGTGCTCTGTTTGGACAATGGTCTTTGAGACAGGTCTCCAGAACGGTCCTTGGCCTGTATGGATATCTGGAAACAAAGAAATGCAAAGAGAAGTAGATGTTGTTGTCTCCTTCTGGATGGATAGCATTTGGTGCCCCATTTTTGACTGTCAGGATAGACTCTCTGATCTCCTGCCTGTGTCCCATGGCTCCAGCTTTTGCAGTGGTGGAGGAGGGAAGTGCCCTGTTCTGTAGGAGGTCACAGGAGACCTCTCCTGCTTGGGGACTTTCTGTGGTGCAGGCCCCTGTGCAGAGGTTGGKGAGCTGGAGCCCCTAAGGATGGCAAGGACTGAGCCTGTGGCTGGTGATCCTGCCAAACCCTCTTCTCTTGGAAACAACTTTTTCTTTTCTTCTTCTCTCTTTCAGCAAATCAGGTAACTGGGTGGCCAGGTGTCCTGTTGACTCAGCCTTGTTGCTTCTTGCCAGATAACTTGCAATACTCACGCAGCGAAGGTTCTGTCCAGGGCAGCGGTGATGTCCTAGGTTGTGCCAAGCTCTGAGCTCTCTGCCTGTCCTTCAGACCCTCACCTGGAGCAGCGCTCTTGGGTTAATCTGGAATTCCTCAAGTCTGTGAGACCTGGATGTAACAGGATGGGGATAACAGCAGAAGCTCACAGTGGAAGAGGCGCAGTAACAGTGTCTTGTCCAAACTATTATCCCTTTGGTGTTGCATTTTGCAGCCTACTGGGATGTTTCACGCGTGCTGGCAGCATGCAGAAATCAGCTGATGGTTGCCTGCAGTTGCTGCCCACCAGGCTGTATGTGGAGCTCCCGGGGTTTTTGTCGTGTCTGACCCCTTACAGTTCCCTTGGCCCTGCCCTTGGAGCAGCCCATGGTGGAGCAGCACCTCTACCTCTTCTCTGCCTTCTCTTCCTCGTGCAACGTGTTGAGCTCTTCAGAAGCTACTGTGAAAGGGTAGGGGGGAGAATGCTGTCTGGTAGCAGGGTTGGTGTGAGTTTATTTGGAGCTATGCCTAAGGAAGGGAATTAAAGAAGCAGAAATAGAGTAGCTGGATTTGAGGAGACTAGGACCCTGGAGAAAACTTCTTGAAGACTTGCATGAATAATGCTTTTGGTTGCTTTGCCCAAATTGGAGATGAGTGTCGACCTTGCAACTCTGATGAACTTCTGATGGGCATATGGCTGCCTCCTGGAACAGCTTTGCTTGCAAAGATCTCCATCCTGTGCTTTCAGTTGGATGGTGGTGCTGTTTTCCATACTCTTCGCTCTTGTGACATGCTGTTTGAGTTAGGAAGACTCCAGGCTGTCTGACTTCCACCCAGTACCTGGGCAAAGTGCCAGCCCCAGCATCCAAGGGAGGAACAGAAGGGCCTTTTTTGCACCAGCTGATGGTATTAATGTTCAGGGAAGCCTTGTGTTGTTCATATGCACGCTGAGTGATCGGACCGTGAGAGGAAGGAAGGAGCTGAGGGTCAGTCAGCTGTGTCCTTGGTGCTTGGTCCATCCTTCGACACGTGTTCTTCTGTCTTCCCAGTGCTTTAAATAGAAAGAAAGACTTCTGCAGACATTGCTTTTGTCAAGCCCAAGAGGATGCCTTGGAGGTGCTGATTTTGCCAGGCATAGCTCTGAGCAGCAGAGAGGTTTAAGGTGGAAAAACATAAGAACAGCTAACGTGTAGCCTCAGGCTTATTTGAGTCCCTGGCACTGCTTCGTCCAGTGATTCCTGTTCTTAATCTCTCCTCTGGACTTCTCTAGGCTTCATCTTCTGTGTGCGTTTGCTCTGTCAGAAATCAGAAGCGAGCTCAGTCAGCAGGTAAAAAAGCTTCTGGTGGGAGAAAAGGTCCTGCTCTGGCACCATCTGTGATTCCCCCTTGTGCTTAGGGGAGGAGAAATCCTCCTCCTTCCCCTGGAGGGGAAGATTGCAGGATTGTTGCTGGAAGGTTGTAGCTACACATGATGCCTTGGAGTGCAAGGAGACCAAGGCAGCCAAACCCCTGTGAAACTGAGACCTTGTGTGTCTGTGCCACTTGAAGCCCTCCTTGGGAGATGTGTCCCATGCAAAGGAGCAGGTCCTTGTGGGTTTGGTCCCCTTTGGTCCCCCTTTCCCAGCTGGGCTAAGTTCAGCACGTGGACTTGGCTCTCCCCAATCCCCCATAGCAAAGCAGCGCCGACAGACCTGGATACMACATGGGACAGCCTTGGGGACAGAAGATGATGCATGGTCCATCCATGGGCTGAGATCCCACAGCTGGGAGCGGGTCCGGCCAGGTCGTGTTTGAGCCTGTGATTTGGGGGCAGARGCAACATCCACAGGTCCTGCTGGAAGCAAAACGGGGAGTTGGCTTCTCCCCCTCCTCGGGGCCGGGATTTTTGTCACGGCGCTTCCTGCTGCGCTCCCAGAACAATGTTATCATACAGCAGCAGCCTGAGTCGGCGCTGGGATTGACGTGTTTATGCCTCGAATAATCACAGCTTTCACGCGGCTGTTCCTGCGCTGCACGGGTTGACGTTTGGAGAGGAGCAGCAGCTTATTGGACTTAAAACGGGGTTAAAAAAGAAAAAGAAGAAAAAACCCCAAACTCTCAGGTTCTATGCCCCAGCCCCATCCTGAATCCGGGTTATGTTTGTTGCGTTCGGGTTTGTCGGCAGGCCTTTGTACACAGCAAACCGTCCTGGTGCCCGGAAGAGCCCCGGGAAGGCTGGGAGCAGGCTCCAAGGCCAAAGCAGAACAGACCTGCGACTGCTGCGACGCTGCCTCGACTCGTATCCAGCCTTCCTCCAGCGCTCCCCTATCTACACCGAGCCCATCACACTGAACCTCACTTGTTTTGAGGCAGGTTTTAACTCCAGGGGTCTTGATCTGCCTGCAAGTCTGCGGCCTTGTTCCTCCCCATCCTAGGCTGAGCAGGATTGGGGCCATCCCGCTGGGAGAAGCTGGATTCTTSAGGAAGTGGGTGCAGGTCGTCTGGCTTTGGGACTAAACTGCAGGAAGAAGAGAGGCAGTTTAGTGAGGTGCCCTTTCACGTTGCATTTTGGCCACTAATAATTAAGGTTTTTCCCAAGAGTGGAGCATTTTACTCTTTCCTCCTTATGGCTATTAAGAAATAAGTGATTTTATTTTTTTGGTTTGCGTGGGGTGTGTGGACAGGGCAGTGGGAAGTGGAGAAAGCCCCTCTGTCTGCCAGCTGTAAGGCCAAAATTGGCTATGAAAAGCATGTGGTATCCAAGCTGCTCGGAAAAATAGCAGACTAGTGATATTATGGAGACATTTACTGTCATGTTTTGTTATTTTTCCCTTTTGTTGCAGCGAAATACGGCCAGTCCTTGTTCCCAGCTGCCAGCGCGGGGTGTGAGCAAGGGCCCTCTCCCACAGCCGCCTCTTCCCGCTGCATCCCGGAGCCGAGTTCCCRGGAAGCAGAGCCTGGGGGCAGCAAGTTTCTGTGCTCTGGCCCTCGCAGAAGTGCCAGACTGGGCTGTTGACATGAGGCCGCGCAGAGCTTCAAGTCCAGAGATCTGGTTTCTGTCCTGGGTTTCGCTGTTGATTTGCTCTTGGCAGTGGCATAAAGGGAAAAGGCTTTTATTTTCKTGGAGGAGGAGATGACAGCGAGGCCTTGGGTGATTTAGCACGTTTGCCGTGCCTCAGTTTCCCTCCTCACAAAGCAGATTTATTCTGGCTGCCAGTTACAAAGCTTGTGAATACCTGCAGTAGAGGAATTCTGTGAGGGTGCAGCATTAACGGCAAGGACTTCACAGAGCTGCAATTYGAGGAATTTTATTCCCAGTACCAATGTTTTCTTTAAGCAGCAGATAACATGGGACATATTATTGGATGTGGGATAGTGGGGAAAAAAAGGTGCTTCATTTCCTTATTAAGGCCTTTCTGATAGGATAACCCTATTAGAATTAAATCATTTGCAAGCTGCAGAAATTAGGATTTGGGTCTTTTGGTTATTATAAGAAACTGTACGGTAGTGGAGCCTGGGGGCGCTGGCTCTGGTTGCGGCGCGCAGTGCAAAGCCAYGGGAGGCCAGATGCTGCCACGGAGGCTTTGGGGCAGAGATGTGTCTTCTGAAGCCCTTCCGGCAAATGAACTTCGCAGCCATCCCATCCTTAATTTTCCTGCAGATCCAGGTGCCTTGGAAAAGGCGCCAGCCCCTCCAGGATGGAGATGGGTGCGTTCTCCAGTTACCTGTTCCTGCTGCTTCTTGTGTCGGGGGCATCTCTGCTGGCCCAAGCTGGGACTCTCGGTGCCCAGGACAGCAGCACCCCAGTGCTGGGCTCTGATGGCYGCGATCTCTGTCTGTCTGTCCCCTCGCAGGAGACGCCTGGCGCCTGGAGGACGACCTGGAGCCCCCGGGGGACCCCGGCGTGCAGCTGCGGCTCCGCACGGCGGTGGACGAGGCTCCGTTCAGCTCCTTCCGCACGCACTCCTTCTACATGCGCAAGAGCCTGTCGGTCGACAACCACCTGGGCTCCCTGAGCTGCGCCCTCCACCCGGCCGAGACCAAGGCCGAGCGAGTCAAAACCAGGCTCCGGAGGCAGTTTGTGAGTACCCGCCGGGTGTCACCTCTGTAGCTCCTCCAGCCACCCAGCACCTGCGGAGCTCCAACACACCTGCATCTTCTCAAACACTAACGTGTTGAGGAGGTATTTAAAGCATTACCAAAAAAAGAAAGGAGGGGAAGAGGTGTGTCTAGCCTGGTGACACGGGTGGTTGTGTCATCTYGTGTTTGCCCCTGGTGGGCCAGAAAGCCTCTTTGTCTTGTTTGCCAGGCTTTACAACTCTGACCCATTCCCTGTGGTCAAAATGCTCCTGCAGGGCTTTTGCTGGCTCGGAGGTGGCTCTTGCTTGGTCAGGTAACATATGGCACGATTATATTTCTTATAAGAAATATATAAGAAAATGCTCTGTAGACAGCAGTTTAAAATACGAATGAGGTCTACAGTAGTAATGATTTTACATGCTTGTCCTCTGCCGTATCCAYGCTTGCCATTTGGCCGCCTCGAGGGTCTATCTGAAACATGTTGAGGAGCCAAGAGAGGTGCTGGTCTGTGTCAATCCAGGATGGACACAGTGAGGCAGCTCGGGCTTTCCTGGCTCTTTGGGGTGGATCTGCTAGCAAGGCTGCAGGATCAAGGCGGCTCTGCAGCAGGTTAGGAGGAGGGATCTGTTCAAAGTTTAATGGGCTTTGAGGCTTTTCCTTTCCAAGAGACACCTGATATGGGTGGTTCATATGGTATTGTACTTGCCTCATTACTGGCTGCAGGTTGTAATGAGAGGCTCAGGTGTCCCTGCTTTGAAAAGCACTTAATGCTGGGTGGAAACAGGTGAAGACACAGTACAAAGGGAGCTGTCTGCCTGTGCAACCCAAGGCTGAGAGCCACGGAGAGCAGCTAAGCGAGGCTAGTGGTGCTCTCCCATCAGGACGTGTGCGTCTCTTGTGTCGGTGCTTGTTTGCCTACTGCAATAGCCGATGACTGGTGACTATTTCCTTGGAAGCTGGTTATGATCCCAGCGCTGTGAGCTGTGCTCCGTGAACACGTGTGCGGGACGTGCTGTGGACTCGGGAAGCAGGTGGAAGCTGTCGTGAGGCAGGRGAGCAGAAACAGGCTGGAGTGTCTCGTGAAGGGCTAAAGGGTGTCAGATGTATTCGAAATGAAGCAGACCTGCTGTGCGGTAAGGAATGGAGACCTGCTTTTCTGCCCTTGGGTCTAGATCGGTAGCGCTCCCCCATGGTGTGTGCACAGGAACGTGGGAGGGAAAGGAGACTGTTCAGAGRTGGATATTGCCTCTTGGATGCCTTTAGGCCTCTCTGGTGGGATCTGTTATCTGTAGCATCCTTGCAGTGTTGATATGAGCAAAAAACGTGGAAGCAGTTGGCCCAGCCAACTAGGCAGTTGACCCAACCTCAGAGGTGGAACGTGAAACCAGTTCTCTTAGTGGCTGTAAGGTTGGAGGTGAATCTAGATCCTGCTTGTCCAGTGCTCTTCTGGGGTAACACATGTGGTGGGACAAGGGGGTGGCGCTGACRGATCTCTTGGCTAGGAAAACACTGAATTGCTTCACATCAGCTTGGCTGACCTGTTACTGATGAGACATGAGGGGCACCTGGGCTTGGGACCGTTTCTCTTGCTGGGAGTGGTGTGAAGGCTGCAAAGATGCAGGTCACTGGGTCAGATGTGCTCTGCCATCTCATCATAGCTTCTGGAACTTGCTCTTAACTGTCCTCACTTCTCTCTCAAGGGCAGCTGGAACGGCTTGGTTATGGCTTTGCTTCCCTGTGCAGAACGAGCTGCTTGGGTGAATGTCTTCCTGCTCAGCTGCTGAAGGAGAGGTGGACTCCTGGAGCAGATATGGGCTTGCTTCCCGTTGCTGGTGGTGCCAGCTCGTGGCCTGCCTGCTCAGCTCCAGCCCTGCCTCCCTTTGTGCTGCCTGGGGCTCCACTGCTTTGGACCTTTGGCTTCACTGGAGCATCTGCCAGTGGTTTCAGAGACAGGGTGCAGACCTTTAGCACCACACCCCRCGCAGAGCTGATGATTGTTGTCCATCAAGGAACAGGAACAGATTTTTGTAGGCTGCTTTTCCTGCTCTTTCCTCTCCGCTTTGTTTTAGTAGCTAAAAGCTTTATTGCTGTAGGCTGGAATGAAACTGCTTAGCCAGGGAYTGTGATCCTCTCATACCTGTTGAGGTGAGTGGCCTCATCTGACCTGAAAAGGACCTTTGATGGAGACCCAGCGGCAGCATTTGGGCTGGTGTGGGACCAGTGCTGCCCGTACAGCTAGAGTAAAGGTCCCCCCAGCCTGGGGAAGGGCCCTTTGTGGCACTGTCTSTGAGACTAGGCAAGCTAGTAGAGCACTCCGAGCCCTCCTGAGAGCAATGATCACCCTCCATCTGTGTGCTGGTTGTTTTGGGGTTTCACCTGTGTTTCTGCTCTGCTGTGTTGTGGGGTGCCTGCTCTACCCCTCTAATCTTGGCTGCTGGAGCAAGTCCTCCTAGGTGAGAGCTGTTCTCCCCAGGCAGAGAAGAGCACAGAGCACTTAGGAAAGAAGATGATTTGCCTTTTCTGCAGCAGCTCGTCTGGGAGCTTTTAGGAAGATCCATATCTAAAGCTTGATTTGTTTTTCTGGGCTRTTGCACTCAGCCATCTCGTAGCGTTAAATTTCTGGCTTTGCTCGTTCCGTGCTGACAGTCTGAGAGGCCTTTGCCGCGCGGTGCAGCCGCTCTGCCGAGAGCGGTGGAGAGGGCCCTAAATCAAGGTTCCTGAGGGGCCGTGGTGTTGCAGGAACACCTCCTGTGCCACGCAGCCATCCTGCACCTATTTCCATGCGAAGGATTTGGCTTGGCTTGTTTGCAGAGCCTTGTGTGTTAGAGGATCCTTGCATACCTGCTGATTTCTGTGCAGTTGTAGCCCACTTCACTTGATGAAGCCGTTGTGTCCGTCTTGGGTGTCAGAGCTATTCCACGTGATGCAAAATGGCCATTTATTGTAGTCCAGGTGGCAATGCTTGAGGGCTGAGCATCCCTGCCTCCCTGGGGAGGCCATGTGCTTCTCCCTCAGTATGGAGCGTGCATCGGAAATCACACACACAGAATGGCTGAGGTTGGAAGGGACCTCTAGAGATCATCTAGTCCAACCCCCCTGCTCCAGCAGGGACACCCAGAGMACGGGGCACAGGGCGGCATCCAGGCGGGTTTGGGAGACCTCCAGAGAAGGAGCCTCCACAACCTCCCTGGGCAGCCTGTGCCAGGGCTCTGGCACCCTCCCAGTCAARTTCTTCCTCACCTGGAGAGGAAAGTAGTCCAAGAGGCTCCATGCCCATGGCAGGTGAGTAGAGGTGCCTTCCRCAGGCACGTCTGAGTGAACCCTGGGGGAAGGCTCAACTGGAGGACAGCTGTCCCCAGCTGCGTAGCTGGTGGCCTCTGTGCACCATCCTGCTGCCAGCAAGCGGCGCATCTGCTGGTACGGATTATGTGAATTTGCATAGCTTGAATTTTAAATGAATCCTGTTTTTTTTTTTTTGTCTGTGAGTGTCAGAACAAATTTTCTTTCTAATATGCCTTTCTGCTCAACTCCTGTAAGGCTTGTGACGTTGGTGAAGTTTCTGCCTTTGAGAAGGAGAGGGAGCCCTTGATTCCTTTTGACAGCTGCCTTTCACACTTGCTCAGACCCCCCACTTTACTAGGGGTGATATGGTTTAAGAAAGAATTAATGAATTAGTTGAAAAAAACTATTTAAAAAAATCCCATTCAGGTAGGGGAGCAGCAAGCCCTGCCTTGCCCCTCCTTTTTCCCTTTGGGATCTGAAGTAGTCTGTGATGAGGGCAGTTGTTTTTTCATTGCCCAAAACTGATGACTTTTGAGGTTGTAAGGAAGACTGTGGAGTCCACAGCACGGATACCTCTGCTCCCTGAGAAGGAGCAGCTGATGCCTTTTAGCCTGGGCCCCAGGGCATTTTTCCCTTCAAGCTGGTGGGGCTGAAGAACGTGGATAACCAGAATGGTAAAACCTGGGGGAGGAAGGAAGCTCTCCCTGTGAGAGAAACCTGATTGGATCCAGGACTCACTGAAGCCGCTAGCAGCGACTGAGCTCTGAAAGGAAGCAGCTCCTTGCTTTTCTGCACAGACGTCTGTCCAGCTTTTCCTCTTCCCATGGATCAATCATCAGTCCTGAAACCTCTTAGGTCATTGATGGGCACTGTGAGGACAGCAGGTACATGGTCTGCATGGAAGTAACCTCTTAGGTCATTGATGAGCACTGTGAGGACAGCAGGTAGATGGTCTGCATGGAAGTGTCTTCATCCTGTGTCCACGTGCTGTGTCCATGTCCTGGTTTGGGTTGCGAGTGCCCCTCAGGTTGGGCTGAAATCCAAGCGAAGCGTCAGGCTGCTGAATAGGAGCCATCCCTGCAGTGCCTGCCTCCCTCTGAAGGTTGAGTTTTCATTWGTGCTGGATGCTGTTTGTGGTGTTAGTTGTTGAGGCTGCACTCGTGGCCTCGGGGGGTTTGCAGAGCCCGGCTGTGACGTGTCGCAAGGTGAGGACAATCGGGGGCAGCTCAAGTTTTGCTGCTCTGATGCTTGCAAATGCCTCCAAGAGCTTTCTTGCAACAGACGGATGTGAGATGGGCAAATAATGACTTTTTTTTTCCCCCCCATTTTAGCTTGCTTCCCCCAACAGGAGCCATATTCTGCTCAGTTCCACCCAGCTGCGTCCTCCCCAGGGCTTTTGTGGGTAAGAGTGGGCAGTTGCACGCACAGCCTGGAAAGGCTTCGATGCCTCCAGGCACTGCCGTGGCTTTGCAGCAGCATAGCTCCGTAGAGGGGAGATGGACGAACGTGGAGGAGCTGCGGGTTGCCCCGAACCTCTGTCCTTATCGCATGAGAAGACGGATGCTGGCACGTCAGGGTGCCCTGCTGCGCTCCGAGCATCTGCGAAGCAGAGGGAAAATATAAAGCATTTTCCCCCGCACTCCCTGCTCCATTTTTCCATTTGCATCCGCTTGCGGGTGCTATGGCAATGGGCGGCGGAGGCAGCGCGCTGGGGGGAAG